GAACAGGTTTTGTTTTGCGCCAGTACTGGGGCTTGAACTCAGGGTCTGTGTGCTGTCCCTTAGATTTTTGGCTCAAGGCTCAAGGTACCACTTGAGCCATAGCTCCACTTTCCACTTTTTGGTGGTTAATTGGAGATATGAGTCTCACAGACTTTCCTGCCTGGCCTCACTTCAAACCAGGATCCTCAGATAGCCTCCTGAACAGCTAGGATTATATTATAGGCCACCAGCACTTGGCCTGAACACATTTTGAGCTGCCTTCCTGAGGCCAGACTGAGGAGCTGACTGCCTAGCTAAGCAGTACTGCCCTTAGGGTTGCTACACAACTGTGTGTCTGGTAGGACTAATAGGTAACAGCCTGATGGTTCTACAGGTGATGGGGTAACACAGGCAGGAATAGTAGCAAAACCATTAGGGGGAGCCCCAGGCATGGGCTCAGCCTAGTGCCATCTCTGCGTGTGGCCCTGGCAAGTTCCTTCTCTCTGAGCGTGTTTGGACCTCTGCAGCATGGAGCTGCAGGTGTTTCGTGAGGTTACATGGACGACCACTGGTGAAGCCTTATACCTCCTTCCTCTAGACCTTCTGCCCCCTGAGGTTTGCAGCCTCCTCAACCCAGCAGCCATCTATGCCAACAATGAGATCAGCCTGCGTGATGTGGAGGTCTATGGCTTCGATTATGACTACACGCTGGCCCAGTATGCAGATGCACTGCACCCTGAGATCTTCAGTGCCGCCCGGGACATCCTGATTGAGCACTACAAGGTGAGGCAGACCTAAGCCACAGACTGAGTTGTAGCGCTCCCAGACACCATGGCTGGTGGCTGGGCTGATCCCCTGAAGGACCCTTCTCTGAAGCCTAGCCTGCTTTTGCCCAACAGTACCCAGAGGGGATTCGAAAGTATGAGTACAACCCCAGCTTTGCCATCCGTGGCCTCCACTATGACATTCAGAAGGTAGGTGGCTAGATGCTCGCACTCTTCCCACTCCTTCTGGACACGTAATGGGCTACTTCGTTAGCCTCCCCTTCCTAGAGGAGGCTCTTCTCTCTACACCCCTTGGCCTCCACACTGTAGCTTCTTTCTTCTCTTTATGTACCTGGTCCCCTTGGTATCCTGCAGTGGCAGGTTTGTGTCAGGGTTAGGAGAAGTTGACAGGAGCTACCTCCTTACCACTGGCCTCCCCTCCACCCCGGATCCCCCCAGAGCCTTCTGATGAAGATTGATGCCTTCCATTATGTACAACTGGGGACAGCCTACAGGTCAGTGCCGCCTCTGCCCCAATCTCCCCTATGCCCCCACCCTGCACTGCTGCTTAGGCTGAGACTGACAGCATCTGTGCCACCACTCAGGGGCCTCCAGCCTGTGCCAGATGAAGAAGTGATCGACCTATATGGGGGCACCCAGCACATCCCGCTGTACCAGATGAGTGGCTTCTATGGCAAGGTATCCCCTGCACCTGCTACAGTGGGTGCTAGCTCACACCCCAGTGTCCAGCCCCGGCCCACAGGCCATGCCCGCTGCTAATGGCCTAAGGCACTGCTGCAGCCCTTGGTCTCCCCTGCTGGGAAGAGTAGGCCAGAGAGGCGGCTAAGCTATGTCTCCTTCCTAGGGCCCCTCCATCAAACAGTTCATGGACATCTTCTCACTGCCAGAGATGGCACTGCTGTCCTGTGTGGTGGACCACTTCTTGGACCATGGCCTGGAGTTTGACCAAACACACTTGTACAAGGATGTGACGGTGAGGATACTGGGCCTGCCCCTTAGATGGCAAGAAGAGGAAGTCCAGCTGTAACAGGCAGGCCCTCTTGGAGCCCGCTGGGCCTTCACTGTCCCCCTATATCTACTTCCCCCAGGATGCCATCCGAGATGTGCACGTGAAGGGCCTCATGTACCAGTGGATTGAGCGAGACATGGGTAAGGGTGGATGGTAGCCCGACCACAGCCTGCCGGGGCGGGGGGGGGGGTCCTCATAGACCCATCCTTTCCCTCAGAGAAGTATATCCTGAGAGGGGACGAAACATTCGCAGTGCTGAGCCGCCTGGTGGCCCATGGGAAACAACTATTCCTCATCACCAACAGTCCTTTCAGCTTTGTGTAAGTCCAGCCTCCCTGTGGGAGGAGTAGGGTTGGGTGGAGGTACACACAGCACCACCCTTAGACCTGCAGCCATTTCCCCCTCTACACAGGGACAAGGGGATGCGGCACATGGTGGGTCCTGATTGGCGCGAGCTCTTCGATGTGGTCATTGTCCAGGCAGACAAGCCCAGCTTCTTCACTGACCGTCGCAAGTATGGGCCTGGCAGAGACTCCAGGGTCAGGGAAGGAGGTGGAGGCCCTAACTCTGTGGGGGGGGGCTGAGGCTGATCTTTGCTCACCACTTTGTGTGCTTGGAATGAGCTCATCTCTTTGCTAGAATATAGCCCCCTTCAGTGGATGGGCTTTTTCAAGAGAGGAGGGAGGTACCTGGCTCTTAATCCCATCACAGACTGAAAATCAAGTCCTTTACCCTCCCCCAGGCCTTTCCGAAAACTGGATGAGAAAGGTTCTCTCCACTGGGACCGTATCACCCGCCTAGAAAAGGGCAAGATCTATCGGCAGGTGAGGAGTCTTGAGGAGGATCTCACCCTGATGAAGGAATATTGGGTGGACAGGAACTATCCACGTAACCATGGCCCTAGCAACATCACACCGTGGGACTAAAGCCAGAGACCACCAGGGCAGGGCAATGTGGAGAGTGAGCTTGGCTTCTGGGTCACAACTGGGTTTAAACTCCACTTAAAAACAGGGGGTCGGGGCTGGGAAGGTGGCTCATTGGTAGAGCACTTGCCTTGCATGCATGAGGCCCTGGATTCAATTCCTCAGCACCTCATAAGCAGAAAAGCCAGCAGTGGTGCTGTGCTCAAGTGATAAAGAGCTAGCCTTGAGCTGAAGAGCTGAGGGACAGAGCCCAGGCCCAGAGTTCAGGCCCCAAGGCCTTCAAAAAAAAAAAAAAAAACCAGGGGGTCTGGCTTAGATGCCACTGTGCCTTGCTTTCTTCCTCAGCGAGAGAATAAACAAAGTTGTAGTGTAAAGCCCTCAGAATGCCCTGCAATTGCCAAGCACCAGTTAACGGCACTGACAAGTTGGGACTGAGCACGCACAGAAGCAGCCTGGTTAGGCATCCTGAGGCTGGCCTTTAAGGAGGAGGCAGCTCATGAGAGCACATTAGGGAGCCACCCCCACTTCCTGTCTGGCAAGAAAGTGAAGTGGGTAAGGCTGGGTGTCGAATAGCCATGAGAAGATGATGAAGGCATTTCACCCTGGCTGGAATGTGAAAATCTTAGCTGAGCTTCTTAGAGGCAGGCATACCAAAGGTCTTAAGGCTGGGGGAAGCCAGCCGTTAACAGGGAAAACAATACTGGGTGCCCAGGCATAGCTTGCAGGCAGTGTTCCCACCCCTGTATCTGCCGAGCTTCACCTATCTTTCTGCAGACAAGAGAGGCGGGGGGGGGGGGGGGGGAGATACAGGTGCATTCATGGGAAGGTGACTATCTGAGTGCTCCTTATGCTCCATGTCCTGAAGTTTCCTTATACTGTACGTTGGATCTGCTTGGGTCGTAAGTTCCCTGTCTTTCTGCATCTTTCCAGTCTCTCTCAGTTGGGAGGCATGTCCTTCGCACCCTCCCACTCATACATGCTCTGCGGTGGGGCTGCCTATTCCCCTGGTTCCCATCTCCCCAAGGCTCTTGGGCAGACTTGCTTTGGGAACTGGCCTTTGGCTATGCCTTCTCCTGGGGTGTGGATGCCTGTACCTGGTGGCTGCTGCGCTTCTAGTTTTGGCACCTCTAGGAAGGAGTTTCTCAGTTATGCTTGGTCTTGGCTGCTTCAAGCTTTTGAGCAAGAGAAGCACGTGGCCTGCCAGTGAATTCTGCTCTTGCTTTGCTGGGGCTGAGTCAGCCAACAAAGACTTCCAAGGCCCTTTGCTTTAGGGAGCGGGGCCTTCCTTGTGATCCGTTTCTCACAAACAAGAACGCAGCCTGGGGTGGGTGTGAGGCCATAGCGGGGACACCCCTGAGGACAGCGAGGCCACGGGAAAGGCCAGCCTACTTTCCCAGCATCCGGCTAGCCTTGGCTGCCTCTTGGGATTTAGCAGGGCTGAGGGAGGACAAGGCCTGCTTCCTGTGGCCCTAAAGTGCGCAGTTGGCTCAGCAATGTCCACGTCTACTGCAGGGAAACCTGTTTGACTTCCTGCGCCTGACAGAATGGCGAGGCCCACGCGTGCTCTACTTTGGTGACCACCTTTACAGTGACTTAGCGGTAGGTGAAGGGGTCAGGGCTACCGCAGGAAGGGGGTGGGGGCAGCCCTCCCAGCTAGCACTGAGGTCCATCCCAACACCACACCTGCCAGGATCTCATGCTGCGGCATGGCTGGCGCACAGGTGCCATCATCCCTGAGCTGGAGCGCGAGATCCGCATTATCAACACGGAGCAGTATATGCACTCGCTGACCTGGCAGCAGGCGCTAACGGGACTGCTGGAGCGCATGCAGGTGTGAGGGGCTGAGGGTTGGGGGTGGCCAGCGGGGGAAGCCAGTGAGGCAGCCTCCTGCCATCACCTGACATCATCATCCTGACAGACCTATCAGGATGCAGAGTCTCGGCAGGTTCTAGCTGCGTGGATGAAGGAGCGGCAGGAGCTGCGGTGAGTGGGGAAACAGCCAGGCCCGGAGTCCTGACCCAGCCCCTCCTGTGCCCGCCCTTCATACGGCCCCATGTTGCCTTCCCAGGTGTATCACCAAGGCTCTGTTCAACCCTCAATTTGGGAGCATATTCCGCACCTTCCACAACCCCACCTATTTCTCAAGGCGCCTGGTGCGCTTCTCGGACCTCTACATGGCCTCCCTCAGTTGCCTGCTCAACTACCGCGTGGACTTCACCTTCTACCCGCGCCGCACACCCCTACAACATGAGGCACCCCTCTGGATGGACCAGCTCTGCACCGGCTGCATGAAGACACCCTTCCTGGGAGACATGGCACACATCCGCTGAGGGTGCCTTTATTGTCTCGGACAAACCCCCAGTCCTTCCTACACCATCCACCTCGGGAAGCTATCCAGACAAGCAATAAAATGGTCTCCTTCAGCCATGTGCCTCTGCTTCAGCTCTCAGCCCTCATTTGACTGCAAGGATCCTCTGGGTGTCAGGGAAGTCATCCTCCAGGAGTGAGTCCTAAGACATATAGGCCATCTTCAAACAGGGGAGCACCAGGCCCCAGGGCCCCTTTCCACACCCTAAACCCATACCACACTCACATCAAAGGGCTCACAAAAGGCATCATGGCTACCAAAGATGGGGTTGGGGACAGAGACCAGGGTTGGGCTGGTGGGCCCTTCTTGCCAAGGAGAGAAGTCTTCATCAGCATCATCTTCTGCCTGGAAAAAAAAAGCAGAGTGAGGGGCCGCAAGCAAGATCAAAGCACCTCACATTCCATCGGCCCTCTAATCCAACCCTACCTGAAAGGCAGAGAAGCTAAAGCCTGTGGGCTTCCCTCGGGTGCGCAGGTAGAAGGCCCCAGCCACAAGCCCGAGCAGCGTTCCAGCAGCTACCACTGCTCCCACCCCTGCTGCCACGGACGGTGCCTCGGGCGCCAATACTGCCTCCTACAAGTGAAGAAAGTGTCGAGGGCCTGGCCAAAGGTGGCCCTTTACAGCTCTGCCTTCCCCTTCCGTGGACTTACAGGCTGGAGGGGTGCCAAGAGGGGACTGGCCAAAACATGAATGATGCCATTGAAGGCCATGATGTCCCAAAAGATGACATGGCTGACCACAACTGCCCCAGGAGTCTGCAGGAAAACCAGAGTTAGGCCCCGAAGGTGAGTGAGGGCTAAGCCAGCGGGGGAGGGACAGAGACCAGACTCACCGCAGGGGCCCAAGAACTGTTGTCAGAGCCCATGTCATTTATGAAGAGGCTGAGACCTGAGTGGGCAGGGAGCAAGGTCCCTTGGCTGGCATTGGCACTCAGGAAGGTAGCATTGGACGCATGCAGCTCCAGGTCTGGACCAGTCAGCGTCTGGGCAGAGCAAGATCTATTGGGTTAAGCCACCTATAGAGAGCAAATTGGGGCTCTGCTGTGCCCACACCCCTGCTGTTACCATATTGTGCGCAAAGCCTTCATTGACAGGGACAAAGAGTGTCTTGTAGGTGAGCTCATCATTCAGGAAGTCCAAGAAATCAAGCCCTCGCTGCGTGGTGTTGGCATAGCCCAGCAACATCTGGGAGGGTGGGAACATAGGGCTGTGGCAAGTTTCCTTCCTGGGGATCCCAGTTACCTTCCCCTTATGCCTAAGGTGAGCCCCTGCACACCCCATAGAAGGTGGAGAAGTTGGCAGTAGCAGCCAGTACATCCAGCAGCTTCCCATTGCACACACTGATCCCATCGCCCACAAAGCCGACCTGACATCTGCAAGTCACATCTGTGGAAAAGGCAGATCAGTGGGTTGGTGGCAGGGGCAGAGCAGGAAGCTGGGCTTGGTGGAATGCACCCACCTTGCACACGGTAGCAGTAGGCATCCCAGTGCTCCGAGAGATTCTTACGTACACCCATGCTGACCACACCCACCCGACCATCACCACAGTCCGCCGCTGGGAAGACAACAGGGTGGGCAGCAGAAGCATTGGCCAGCCATCCCACGAGGCAGAGGTGGAAGCCCAGCTGTAGGGGTAGCAGGAGGAAATGCTGAGACCCAGGCTCAACTTCATAGATCCTGTTAAGTGTGGCTCCCACTCCAGACCCCACACACCTGCTGGGCAGCAGAGAGCTGAGAGAGTGAGGCCAGGACAGCTCCCTGGGCCCCACAAGCCACCTCAGCCTCTGAGAAGGTCAGACCATAGGGGCCGCTGCTGGCCTGAAGGTGGAAGACACCAGCCTTCTTTTCTGTAGAAGGGAGGATGCATGATCAGCCAACTGGCACCCAGGGGTAAAACCAGGTTCTGGAAGTAGGCAGGGGAGCACACCCTGGAAATGTAGGTCAGTGCACACAGCATCTGCATGGCAGGGTGATGGATGGCCCAGGCAGCGGTCTACGGGCGGCTCGGGCTCCTCCAGACATAACAGTCCATCGCCCACATAACCCGCGTGGCATTCGCAGCGCCGTGTGTTCTGGGGGAGAACAAGGAGTGTCCTACAAAGGCTAAGGGGTGCACCTGCAAGGCATCCCCAACCTGGCTTCTCCCCCTGCTTACCGGGCCAGTGTTCAGGCAATCTGCGTGTTCGCTGCATCCCCCGCGGTGGCCATCCAGACACGGGTTGCGAGCCCGGCAACTCCAGCCATCACCCTCGTAGTCAGACAGGCAGACACAAGCCACTACTGTGCCTACTTGACTGCAATTGGCATGCTCACTGCAGCCACCGTGCCCGTGCTGGCATAGATCCACCACTGGGGGGAGGGCAGGGAGGGAGGGGCTGAAACAGGAAACTGAGCCTATTGGAGGCCCACCCACCTGTACATGCACCCGCTTACCTGTGCACACACGGCCATCGCCTTCATAGCCCAGGCTGCACTCGCAGCTGTTGTTCCCACGACACACAGCCTGGGGTGCACAGGGCGGGACACACACAGGCTGCAGCTCTGTGCCCCAGGGCCCATCCCACATGACCAGGTCAGTAGCTGTCCTTGGGACCTCTTCCCCCCACCCTCATGCACGTGTGCAGCAGGAGCGCAAGCACAAGCTCCACTCACCCAGCTGTACTTCACAGCGTGACCCAGTCCAGCCTTCATCACACCAGCAGGAGCCAGACCCCCCGAGCCCCTCGTCGCAGTGGCCGTGGGGGCCGCAGCGGCAGGCTGGGAAGAAGAGTGGTCAGGAAGAGCAAGACTGGCCCACCAGCTATGAAAACTAGGACAGGGTGGGGAGAGCCTCACCTTGACACTGGGGGCCAAAAGCACCAGGAGCACAGAGTTCACAGGCTATCCCAGCAAAACCTGAATGGCACACACACTGTCCGCTGCCACTCATGCCATCCATGCACACGCCGTGGCTGCTACACGGGCTGCTGGGGCCGCCAGGGCAAGCTGCAGGTTGAGTAGCAGAAGTAAGGTAGAACCAGGGGCTCATCAAGATACCCACACATGAAGCCCAGCCTGACCCTCTCTCTTCCATCCAGTGGTAGCCAAGGCTCTTCAAAGAGTACCAAGCACACAAGCCACCAAGACAAGAGACCATCCAAAGCCTCTACCTTTTCTAAGGCTGCTCAGTGCCCAGCTTTCCCCATCCTGGAGCACGCCACTACCCTTTCTTGGGGACTGGCTGAAACCTTGTCCTTGGCTATCTTGGGGGCTAGAGGCACCAATCAGGATGCTCACCTTGGCACTCACTGCCATAATGACCAGGGCAGCATCTGGGCTTCCAGACGGTGGTGACACAATTGCGGTAGCAGCCCCTGCTCAGGCGTGGGGTCTGTCCCCAGGGGCTGGGCCGCACCCAGGCGCTACGAAGTGCCAAGGAGCTCAGCAATGGGGTTGTCCAGAACCTGGAGTAGTGGCGCCAGCACGCCTCAGGGGTGCCCTGGGCCAAGAGGAGACAGACCACAGCCAATCCCAGTTTGCTTTTGTCCCTATCCAATCCCCACCTCAGCTCCAAACTCCCTACCTGCTCCCATGAGCCCACGGGACAGGGTAGCTCCAGCCCACAGATACTGCAAGTCTTCTGGAAGGGATGAGGCCAACATGTGTAAAGTCAGATGAACAGACAGGACAGATAGGCTTGGGCCCTGCCCATCCACTTCTGGCCAGTCTCCTCCCCTCACCATTTGCAACGACTGGGTCGCAAAGTGATCACATCGGGAACCAAGGCCAGGTGGCTCTAGCAGCTGGTCAATACCATAGGCCAGACCACCTTCAAAGGGCAAGTGCCGCTGAACAATGTGGGCATCGTCCTCACCCACCATGAGCTCACCCTGTAGAGGAAATGATTGGAGGATGTAGGGATCCTAGGTACTACAGCCCCACACTGCCCCTCCTGCTTCCCTCCTATCCAGACTCACTGGCCGGGCACGGCTGCAGGAGAAGGAGATGGGAGTCCCATGCATTGTTCGGAGTGGGCCCAGGTTGGGCAGATCAGATGCCAAGGCCTGAACAAATGGAGCCATGATAAGAGCTGGACAGGCAGGGTAAGCTGTAGACAATGGGGACCAGTAACTGGCCACGTACCCACCTCAACATTGCGGATTATGTGGCCCCGCAGAATGGCTGCCAGCTTGTCACGGTGGTCCTCGTGGTACAGCCAGGCCTGCCGATCAGGAGGCAGGGCTTGCAGGGCAGAATCTGTGGGCCACAGCATTGTCAGGGGCCTGTGGGACACATCTCGAAGCATTGGCAGGAGGCCAGCCACCTGGTGTGATGGAGCACAGGTGTAGCAGTGAGAGATTTGGAGGTGGGACACAGACCAGGAAAGGGCTCCAGAGACCCAAACAGACTTCCTTGTAGCCACATTCATCTCCAGCAGACAGTAGTCCCCTTCATCTATGGGAAATACATCCCAAGACCTCCAATCGATGCCTGAAACCATGAACAGTACTAAAACTGATAAATTGACCTTTTTTTTATATACCTATGATAAAGTTTAATTTATAAACTTGTAATAGTAATCTTATAAGATTACTATTGTTAATCTCTTACATAGGACAATTATTCTTATACAATAGAACAATTACAATAATACATTGTAATAAGGGTTGTTTAATGTAACTGTTCTAAACAACTAACATTTTAACAAAAGGAATACCAGGAAGCTGAAATATATTTTGTCAAGTCAAGGAGCAGAAGGTAGAAAACTGAAGGGAAGAAGGGTGGGCAATACAGTCATTATAGTCAATGTACATGTAAAAATGGAACCATGTAACTTGAAGGTCTGGATATGATTGGGGCAGATGGAAGATAATGATATAAAGGATGTATTGATCAAGGTGTATTGTATTATAAACTGATTTGTTGAGTTGAAACCTCTTTGTACAACTACTTAAAGATTTTTAAAGCTGGTGGCTTTAAAAATACTGGTGGCTCACATTGTAATCCTAGCTTCTCAGGAGGCTGAGATCTGAGGATCACAGTTCAAAAACAGCCCAGGCAGGAAAGTCTGTGAGACTTGTTTCCAATCAACCACCAGAAACTGGAAGTGGTGTTGTGGCTCAAAGTGGTAGAGCACTAGCCTTAAGCAAAAGAGCTCAGGGACAGTTGTTTAAAACCTGTAAGTTATTTCTAGGATTTTTTCCATTTAATATTTTCAGGCTACAGAAAGTAAAACCAGGGAGAAGGGGAAGCATGGTACACGGCATGTTGGCAGGGAAAGTTGCACATAAACGCTTGTACCACTGTGTACACTGGACAAGTGTGCAAGCTCACACAAGCACATGTGTGTCCACACTGGAAGCTCATGCACACAGTCATGACCTGTGTTCAAGGCCCTCCACATAGGCAATTCATTCATGGATTCATTCATGCATGCCTGCACACACTTAAAGGCCCATCCATGTGGGAACAGTACCGTCACAAGGCGGCTGAAGATCTTGTATCCGAAGCTCTCAGCAGCCACAGTGACATTTCTCTGGAGAAAAGCACTCATGAACAACCAGGTAAGGCAGGGAGGGAGGAGTCCAGGCCCAGGCCCAGGCCCAGTCATACCCGAGGGGTGGGGGTAGCATCAGCCTCCCAGTGTAGCACATCTGGTGGCAACAGGACACGGTCAATGAAGTGCAAGACACCGTTCACTGCCTCATGGTCGCTGCTCACCACCCGTGCAAAGTCATTGAGGTATATGCTGCCCTGGGGAGGGAGGCATGAAGCTGATTGGTGGGGTGCTCAAGAGCTGTGGGTGGGGCTTGGGATAGGGGTGGAGTCAAAGCACAAGGTAGAATTTGGATCTGTCTCACAGAAGTAAGCACAAGGAACAAGGTTTGGCTGGGGTTTCAAGAGCAAGACACTGGTGCCAACTTGGCTCTGGAGTCCTGGAGCTGGAGGCTCAAATTATGAGCAAGATCTAGACCAGACTCATCTCCCTTGCATTGCAGTACATGTACACACACACCACACACACACACACACACACACACACACACACACCACTGTGCCTTAAAGGAGTGGAAGCAAGGCAGGGTAAACCTTGAGTGGGACTGGGGGTGCACTCCACAGGGGTACAGACCAACAGTGGGGGGAGGGGAGGTTTGGCTCACCTCCCTCTCACTGAACCGTAGTGTGTGCCCAGAGAGTGCTGTGGCATATCCCTGGTCCAGGAGCTCCTGGCTACTCAGCTGCCGGCAGCCAACCACATGGTAGCGAAACACAAGCTGGCGATGTGCTCGAATCTGAGCCAGATCATCCTAGAGTAGTCATGAGGGGAATAAGGATCCCTGATTGCTGCTTCTATCCTGCAGTGTCCACCACCAGAGGGCTCTCCCTTCTCCAACGGTGTACCTTTGACAGATTGGTCATTAGATCTGCATGTGGCACAAAGATTGTAAAAGGCCCATCACCCTTGAGATCTTCGTATTCCTGGAGTAATAGAAACAGCTTGAGTGCCAGAGGGATGACTTAGGGCTTCAGCTGATCTCCTGGGGAAGACTTGAACTCTGAGAGGTCAGACTAGCTGACCCTCTGACCAGATGGAAACACTGAGGACCAGAGACAGATTGGGTCATGGAAGAGCTGGCTGGCTACTCACCAGGAGGTGGAGGCTGAAGAATAAGGCCTGCTTGTCTCGTAGGAGCTCCTAGGGGAGCAAGGATCAGCTTAGATTTTGGGTGGCTCCCATTCAGGGGCTGGTGCCTATTCTAGCCACCTGTAGCCCAAGGTCTGGCTAAGGTAGAGATGAGGAAAGGAAAGCTGGGGGCCAGGGGTGTGAGCTAGCAGGATTGGTTCCATGTGTCATAGCTAAGGTCAGGACCAGGAGGAATAGAGGTGAAGGTCAAAGCCAAGGCAAGAATCGGGATTGAACCTAGGATCTTAGGCAAGCTCCCAAGGGCATGACCAGGATCAGGGTCAGGGGGAAGACCAGGGCCTCGTTACCAGACCAACTCGGGTGCGGCAGGTGAATCCATCTCCCACAGTGTGGGCTGTGTCACAAGTGCATGTCCTCTGGCCATCCCCTGAGCTTTTGCACACAGCGTAAGGGCTGCAGCCCCCATTGTTCTGAGGCAGGGACCAAAGAGGGAAATGTCAGTAGTGTCCAGCCCTCTTGCCCTGGGGAAGAGGCCACAAAGCTTTCTGCCCAGCCTCCAAAGCCATAGCTCTAACCCACTAGCGAGACTTGTGCTTCACAGGAGGAAGGCCTACTATATGAAGCCCTTGGGGATCCTGTGGGGTATGTGGAGGGTTTTCTGCTCTCCTCTCCCTGCGAGATGTGTTGACTGACCTGGGAACAGGGGTTCAGAAGTTCACAGGCCTGGATGCCATCTCCGCTGTAGCCCTCCCGGCAACTGCAGGAGACCTGTCCCAAAATCAGGTTGCTAAGAGCTGCTAAGGTCCTGGATTGAAGGGTCAATCCCCCACTCCAGACCTGGGAGGCCCCAACCCTATGGAGAACAACGTGGCCCCTGTGTCCAGCCCTGTCCTGCTGACCTGCTGGGGGCCTGTGGGGATGCATTCGGCATGAATGTGACAGCCCCCGTGATGGACAAGGCAGCTGTTTGTTTCTGGAGGAAGAGACACTGGGATGAGGAGCGGCCTTGGTGGTCCCTCCACTCATTGGTCAATCTACCCTCAATGTCCATCCCCTCCCCTCTCTGGGCTCCAGTTCCTACCACAAGTATACCCTTCAACCTCTCCTTGTCTGCATCACACCACTGAAAACGGACTCCTTCACCTCAACATGCATCCATGTTCGGGGACCCAGCCTCACCCTGGCACAGCTCCCCATCTCCTGAGTAGCCATCCTGGCAAGTGCATATCCGCTGTCCTGGGGCCACCTTGGTGCAGTTGGCGTGGGGGGAGCAGCCCCCATGGTCATGGGCACAGGGGTCCACCTCTAGGATTAGATGGTCCCAGAAGGTAGTGAGGAACAGTGGGGCAGAGGAGGACCAAGAAGAAGGCAAGAGAGAAAGGCAGATGCCAGAGAGAGGGGTAACACCCAACCCAGAAGGGACAGTGAAGGGGAACTTTTGGGGACAGCCACCCCCAATATTTCAGAGTGAAGACCGTGGCCTCCCTTAGAGGGACCTGAACAGTAGCTGCCATTTCCTGTGTATCCTGCCGCACAGACACAGACCACAGCTCCATCTGACACCTGTACGCAGCTGGGGGGGGGGGGAAATGGCAGTAGTTCAGCCTGTGTCCGGCTTGCTCTGTGCCCAGTCCCTCCCCTTCTCCCCCGCTAAGCCTACCTGCCTCAGGTTGGGTTCACTTACTTGGCATTGGAGTCACACGTCTTAGGACACTGAGGGGCAGTGATTTCTGGGGGTGGGAGGAAGAAGGTTCTGGTCATATGACCAGAAGCTGCCTCTCCCATCATTCCTTACCGCCCCACTTCTGGGGATCCACTCACTCTGGTCACAGCGAAGACCCTGCCAGCCCACGTTACAGACACAGCTTCCGTCCCCTCGCAGCCCCTCCTGGCACAGCCCATGGACACAGTCACACACTGGGAATGGAACAAGGGAAGACAGGATTTATTCAGTGCCTCCCACCGAGCCCTGCCCAGATGCCCAGCCTTGCTCTTGTCCAAGAGGCCACCATTCTGCCCCTGCCAGGCCTCACCTCCAGCACAGGTGGGCCCATAGCGGCCCAGCTCACACATCTCGCAAGCTGTTCCGTGGAAGCCCTCCTGGCAGCGGCATTCCCCACTGCCCAGCAGCCTGTCCTGACACTGCCCATGGCCGGAGCACACGCCCCCCAGGCCTCCAGGGCATGGCTCACACAGCATGCCAAAGAAGCCAGGGCAGCAATCAGGTACCTGTGGAGGGAGGGGAGTGGGAGGGAAGAGGGAGAGGGAGGAAGGGGGAAAGGGGAGAGGGATCTGGCTCAGGCCAGTACACTGCCAGAGGCGAGGAAGCGGTGAGGAGGAGCTCAGGTCCCCAGAGCCAGAGCACAAAACAACTTGGAATCAGAGGGGCATGGAGAATGCTTCCACATCCGTCCCCTAGCAGTAGTAGGGAAACTAAGAGGGGTGGGCACAGATGGATCCCCCTCTGAGGAGCAGAGCCAGGCCCCGAAACTCGGTGATGGATACCTCCAGCTCTGGGGGAGCTCTTTTTTCCCTTTCCCGTTCTCACTCCTCAAGGGGGGGGACATAGACAACATGGCCCTTGTATTTGGCATGTATCTCCCCTTTTCTTCCTCAGGCCACCCACTTTGCTGGCCTCGCCTGAGACCCAGCCCTCCTTTGCTCTTCAAATTGATCCAGTATCCCTTTATCCCCTCATCCCTCTACCCCCATCCCTCACTCCACTTTGTCCTCCCACCTCTGGGTGGGAGCATCTCAGAGCAAACCTGGATCTTCTTGGCACAGGTATAAGAACATCCCCGGGAGAAGGAGAAGCCAGATCTGTAGACACAGCTCTTCCTGGGGGTGTCCTGGAAACAAGGAGGACAGGCAGGAGGAGTAAGCTTAGACACAGACCAGGCTAGTGGTGAGGGAGACAGACAAATGGACTGCAAGGATCAGAATGGGTAAGAGAGACAGACATGAGCAGGAGAGATGGATCTCATGAGGGATGGTGACAGGACCAGGCCTCAGCCCGGACCAGAGAGTAGCGAGCTGCCTGTATCAGTACAGTTCTGCACGCAGGGCTGCACCTGGGGATGGGAGGCTGTGAAGCAGAGATAGAGCTGTGCCAAGCCCAGCCTCACCTGCAGCTGGAAGCCTTGCGTGCAACGGAATTTCCGGGTGCAGTTTATGCATTTCTCCTGGAAAGCAGGATGTCAGGTGGTCCAGGAATAGGAGCCTCAATCCCCCTACCCTTCCTCCAGGGCAGGCTGACCAAGGCTCCTCCCTACCAGGCAGGCCAACCAGCCACTCACCCTCAGAGCCTCTGCATGGCTGTGTAGACAGCGGCTTGAGCCCACTGTCAGGATCCCTGACAGGCCGAACAATGACTGGCCAGGGGCCTCTAGCAAGGGGCCTTCCATTGGCACATGGTTCACCTCAGGCTGGGAAGTACGACAACAAAATGGAGTCATCTACCCCTTCATCACCCTCACTCTGGTGCATGGGAGTACTCCAACTTGGGACATCTCTCCCTTGTTGCTCTTTAAGCTACCCTATGAGGCTGGCATTGATCCAAGGCCTAGCCTCACCTTTGCCCTTGAAATTTAGGGCACACTCCAGTGCTGGGAGGTAGGTTTAAGGATGGGAGAAGTCTCCATGGAGCAGAGGGTGGGGATTTCTAGGTAAGGAGAAGGGATCATTCTAGAACAGAACCCCAGAGAGGGGTCTCCTTGTTCCCTGCCCCGTCAAACCTGGCTGCTGTGGTTGTAGAAGACGAGCCAGTGGGCAGTGCCCAGGAGGGAGTTTCGGTGTCCCCCCTTGCTTAGGGTTTCCACAGAAAGTGCTTCCCCCAGGATCACGTGGTGTCGAACTGTGTCTGCATCCTGGGGAGGGGAGGGTTAGAGGAGTCAGTTTGATGGGGGCAGATTCCAGGCCTCCCGAATGCCCTGGACATCCTGGTATTTCTACTATTTCCCTTTGCTTGGCATGAGAGACTCACACTCTGCGCTTCACTGTTCACCCTCGGTCACCCCAGTGGTCTCACCAGGCTGCTGCTGTTGCCTTGAGCCTCCAGGGAGTGGTTTGTGGGTATAAAGATGGTATAGGCAGCGGCAGCCTCAATCTGGGACACCAGTTTGTGGCGCTAGGCACAGGGGTAGAGGGAGGGGAGGGGCAAGTCAGCCCTCAGTCCTGACGTTGAGAGCCAGCAGGACTCCTGCACGATCTGAGCAGCCATGCCCCCTTCACCAGCCTCCTTTACCTGCAACAGATCCCGGAAAAGATGGAAGGCAGGTACCAGGTCCAACTGCTGCAGTAACCCCTTCCTGGCCAGCACGTCCCCTTGTGGAGGTAGCAAGACCTAGAATATAAAGCAAGGGTCTCTTGGTCGCTCATTGCCTCTTGGCCCATGGAACGTGTGGAGGGGGTCCCTACTCATACTCTCCTCCTGCCATACCTGGCTGATGATATGCAGGACGCCATTGGTGGCCAGGAGATCAGCTACATCCACACTAGCATTCTGAACCCAAACCCTCTGGAAGAGAGCAGGCAGAGCTCAGCAAAGGTGGGTACAGGTATATGTTTGAGAGAGGAAGGCCCAGCCTTGCCTCAGACTCAGGCTCTACCAGGTGAGCACACAGACCCTCAGTAGGACCACCACCACCACTACCACCACCACCACCCTGCCATGAGAAGGGAAGATATGCATGCAGACACAGATAACCAGACAACTGCTGCTGGCCCAAAGACCTACGACCATCTGCAGTGTGGGGCAGGGTCTAAGAACCCCAATCTCATCCTGAGTCCAGGCCCAAGGAGCCTATGATCACTCAAGCTCCCTCCCATGTCTAGTCCCTTGTGCCCAGAGTTCACCTCGTACCCCACTGATGTTGTGAATCTCCCAACGTGTGGTAGAGCTCAGAGTAGCCACTTTCTGTCCGCTCATTTGGGCCAGATCCTCCTCAGAGAAGGCACCCTGGAGAAAATGGGCCCTGAGGGGACCCAGTTTTCAGGGTCAGTGCAACCAACAGAGACCCTTGGAACAGTCCTTTCCCAACGGGCGGGCCCCAATAAGGGAGAGGACCCAATTTCCTTCCCTTTTTCTAGGAAAGGCCTGGGTGCCTAGAAGGAAAGGCCTCCAAAAGGCCCCTCCCATGACTGGCTTCAGCATGGCTATCCTACCTGATCAGGGTTGGCAGCATTTTTGGCTGCAGCCAGAAGGCCCGGTCCTTAGGGCTTAGCCTGCGGATGGCAGACTCGGAGGGCACCAGGGCTGTGACGTTGCTATCAGCGGGAAGCGTGATGCCAGTGCTCTGTGTACAGAGAGCGCAGGGATGGGGCGATGAAGGCAGCACATGGAGATGACCTGCTCCCACCTCCAGCTCTTGGAATAATAAGTGGCACCCCTACATCCAGAAAGGTCTCTTGGATGTGAGCCTGAACCCCAGCATTCTTCCCCATTCTACCTTGAACCACTGGAAGAAGGCGGAGAAGTGAGCATTGGCTTCCAGCTCCTAGGGGGGGTGGGAAAGAGCAGAAGTCATGAGCTTCAGTAAATTTAAGGGCTTGTTCAAACCCATCTCCCAGCAAGGGCCCTGACGAGCACCACCCCATTTCCTGAGGCATGTGGGATAACTCAGGCCCAGGCCCAGGGAAGAGAACAAATGAGTCCACACTCAACTTACTCGGAAGATGTCACCATAGCAACTGAAGCCATCCCCCCCAAAACGAGGGGGGCAGGTGCAGATCCGTTGACCTCCCCCAACTGCCTGGCAGGTGGCCTGGGAAGTGGGGACAGAGAGATATAACCTTCCATTCAGTATATAGCAAGCTGTACACCAGATGTCCGCCATCTTTTCTCCCTCCCTGTTACCCCTCCTCTGCTCTCTTCCTGTCTACCTCTACCTCAACATCCGCATCCAACAAAGTCCCTTCAGTGGACCTAGCTCTGTTCCCCAAGGTCACTGGACATCTGATGGAGATGGCAGGGAGAAACACAGGGTTAAGGACTCAGGAAGCTTTCTGCCTTCAGGAGCCCACACTGGAGGCAGGAGGAGGCAGCCGGTCTAGACTGACTTAGGGAGGTGGAGGTGCTGTGGTGTGGAGCAGGGTGATGTCAGGGGCCATCGAGGAGCTTGGAGTTGTGAGAGGACAGGGAATGGGGGAAAAGGCCACTTGCAGAGCTACAATCCTAAAAAGGAAACATGAAGTAGGTCTGTAGTCCTAGCTACTCAGGAGGCCAAGATCTCAGAACTGAGGTTCAAAGCCAGCCCAGGCAGACAAAGCTGAGAGATCTTTATCTCCAATTGACTAGCAAAAAGCTGGAAGTGAAGCTGTGGCTCAAGTGGTAGAGTACTAACCTTGAGCAAAGAAGCTCAGGGTCAGTGCCTAAACCCTAATTCAAGCTCCAGTACTTCCACCAGGAAAAAAAAAGGCCACACTATCCTCAGTTGGTGGTTAGAGAGACATGGTTGAATTTGAGATTTAGCATGTCCAGTGTTACAGGAGCCAGAGACACTGAGAAAGAGGAGAGACACTGAAGAAGAGGAGAGCATGAGGGTCCACCCTGGAGGTACTTCCCCAGGACTCTGAGCCCTCGTCCACCCCTCTCACCAGGCCATGGCAGCCACCGTTTCCCACTCGGCAAGGGTCAATGGGGCTGCACTCGTAGCCATCTCCAGCAAAGCCCAGCTTACAGGTACACCGGCTCTGGAACAGAGGGGCCCACCACACCATGAGAACTAACCCCTGTGCCTTCCACTCCCCAGCTAGGCCTTCCAACAGAGGAACTTCTCCAGCCCTGCCCTGGAAGGTCTGCTGTGCAGATGGGAGATGGGAGCGGGTCCTCAGGATGTGGCTGAAGGGGATGGGCTCAGTGCCCTTCTGTAATCCAAGTTCTGCCAGGGCCACTGAGGTCATTGGTAGCAAATGAGGAGATGTCTGCATGGCCTGTGCCTGGGATGGCAGCTCAGAACTTGTCTCTGTTTAGCTGCTCTGATCTCTTCCCCTATGCTGATGTCCTTGGGCCTGTCCCTGCTGCAGATGACTAGTGAGGCTGTGATGTCAATTGTTCTTATTTGAAAGTTGGGGAACTCAACCTGCTCATTAAAAACCCCAGCTCTAATTGTTTGTTTTTTTGTGCCAATGCTGAGGCTTCAACTCTTGGTTGGCTTTTTTTCTGTTTGTGGTTGGCATCTTGTCACTCAAGCCACACCTCTACTTCTAGCTTTTTGCTGGTTAATTGAAGGTAAGAATCTGTTGGATTTGTCTGCTCGGGCTGGCTTTGGACTTCAATTCTCGGATCTCAGCCTCCTGAGGAGTTAGGATTACAGGCATGATATACTGGTATCTTAACTGGCTTAGTTCTAAATTAGAAGGCTCTTTTTCTTGTTGCCAATCCTAGGGAATGAACCCTGGTCTTGGCCAGGACACTGTCCTGAGCTTCTTTTGCTCAAGGTGAGTGCTCTACCACTTGAGCTACAGCACCATTTTCGGGGTTTTTTGAGTAGTTTTATTAGAGGTAAGAGTCTCATGGAGTTTCCTGCCTGGATTGGCTTCAAACTGCAATCCTCAGATCTCAGCCTCCTGAGTAGCTAGGATTACTGGCATGAGCTACAAATCTTCAGCAATTATAAGGCTCTTAAGGGGATTTGGAGCTCCAGGCTTAACATTTATCTGTGTTCCTACTGCCAATAGTTCATGGCCTGGTGTCTGAGGCTTAGAGCTAGTTTGGAATTGAAAGACAGAGAGCCCCATGGTCCTTGTATATATATATGTCTGGGCCACATAGAGGTTGGCTCAAAATCAGCCAGTTTGGCCTTGCCTTTTTTTTTTGGTTTGGTTTGGTTGGCCATGGGGCTTGAACTCAGGGCTTAGGTGATATCCCTGAGCTTTTGTGCTAAAGGCTAGTGCTCTACCACTTTGAACCACAACTCTACTTCCAGTTTTCTGGTGGTTAACTGGAGATAAGAGTCAAACAGACTTTGCTGCCCAGACTGGCTTTGAACTGTGATTCTTCAGACTCCAGAGCAGCTAGGATTATAGGAATAAGCCTGCAGCGCCCAGGTTGTGTGTGTGTGTGTGTGTGTGTGTGTGTGTGTGTGTATGATACTTTCCTTTGAATTCAGCCCCCTTGTACTTGGAAGGCAGGAATTCTGCCACTTAAGTTTTGCACTCAACTCATTTTTGCAGGGAGTGGAGGTAGGGCTCACTTTTTTGTTCAGGCCAGCCGTTGAACTATGATCCACCTACTTATGCTTCCTAAGTAGTTGTGCACCACCATACCTAGTTTATTGAGATCATATCTTACTTTTTGCCCAGGCTAGCCTCAAACCTGATCCTCCTGATCTCTACCTTCTGAGTAGTTGAGATTACAAGTGTAAGCCACACAACCTGGCCAGATACTCTTAAATAGCTGTAAGAACTTGGGTTCACTAGGCCTGAAATGCTTCACACAAAAGATCTAGGCTTGCCAAGCACCAGTGTCTCATGCTTATAATCCTGGCTACTCAGGGGGCTGAGATCTGAAGAGTGCTGTTCAAAGCCAGCTCAAACAGGAAAGTCCATGAGACTCTTATCTCCAGTTGACTACCAAAAAGCCAGAAGTGGAGCTGTACCACAAGTGGTAGAGCTCTAGCCTTGAATACAAAAGTTCAGGACAAGGCCCTGAGTTCAAGTCCCAGGAGCAGCACAAAAATAAGTAAAAATTATTGGTTCTAAGATTCCCTAAATTCCATGGATCCGGGGGTATTACCTCCATGGTAAAGATCTCTTCTTGCTTTGGTCAGTATCACATTCCCTAAGTCTAGAATAGGGGCTAGCCTAGAACAGGTGCCCAATGACATATGGGCAGATGAAGCAACCCCAGGGTGTATGATCCTCTGAGCTTAAGCTTGAGCTTGAGCTTGGAGTAGGTGTTTCTAGGTTTCCCCCAGAACTCCCAGCCACCCTGGGCCTGCTGAGCCTCACCTGCCCAGGGCCCACATAGCTGCACAGGGCATCGGCATGACAGCCACCTCGAGTGTCCAGCCCACATTCATCGATGGCCACACACACACGACCATCCCCACTCCAGCCTTTATGACAGGTGCAGTGGTGGCTTCCCAGGTCCCCAGGGACACACTCAGCCTGTAAGAGTTGTGGACAAGTGAGTCAGGGCTGCAGGTCTAGAAGCAAAGGACCGGGAGGCCCCCCCCCACCCCCACCCCCCCCGCCCTGTCTCAGAACTTGTGAGAAGAATTGGGACTGACGTTCTCTGAGCAGCCGCCACGGTCTGGATGAGCGCAGGGGTTGCTGCGTGTGCAGGAGTAGCCATCACCTTCAAAGCCATCAAGGCAGACACACCTGGAGAGAGGTGAAGGAAGGGCCTCTGAGCCTGGGGAAGAGGCCGAGCAAACCACCCCGTGAGAGCACAGATGCGGCAGAGAGAAACCAAGAATCCTCACCTCGGAACACCTTCCAGGCTGAGGCAGCGGGCATGCAGGTGGCAGAGCTGGGCCACCCCTGTGGTTCCACAGCCACCCAGGGACTCGTTACAGAAGCGGCCTCTAAAGCCTGGGGCACACGTGCCATGCTGGCACACCCCCCCGCTGCCCGGACGGTTGTCACACAGACCATGGACACAGCCACAGTCTGCAGAGAGGAGATGGGAACAGAAAAGCAAGTCAGACAGGAGGCGGGGCTGTAGGGGGCCAGGGTTGATTTGGGGGAGGGGGGTGGCTAGTTCAGATTTGACTTCCAGCTCACTCCAGACTTGCCAGGCAGGCAATGAACGTAATTGGAGGGCATTCTGAACTTTCAATCACCCCATTCTACACCAGCCCCTAACACCACCATCAGGAAGTTCTCCAATGTGTATGACCTAAATCCTGCTTGCTTTATTTTAAAACACAGTTATCTATCTGGCAAGGGTGAAGGAAATAACATCTATTTTTGTTCCCAAATCTGGCTCTATTCCCTCTGGCCTTCATTTCTCCTCTTAGGGCCTTGTTCCCTTTCTTGGAAGCCCCCAGACTCTTTTCTAGGAAGACCTTTCTCCCTGGGAGGTGCCCTGGACACGGACTACTTACCTTCCTGGCACTGGTCTCCATGCTTGTTGGGGTTGGAGCATATATGGCAGGCAATGCCCTTGTAGTCTGGGAAGCAGAGGCAAGCCCCATGGCCCTGGATTCCATCACTGCACTGCAGGGCGGGCAGGATGCAGACTGACGTCACATCCCCTCGCCCAACACCTCCTTCCCCAGGCTGGCTCTGAACTGCGCTCCCCAGACCTCACCCTCAAAGGACCTTCAGAGGCCCTGATTCTGTCCAAGAGCTAGCCCCTAACTGACATCTGTTCCTGAAGTTTCACACTCAGCCTAGAAGCATCGAACACGTGCGTTCTTCCATGGCTGCTGACAGAAAGCAGCAAAGGTTTTTTCTTTGTTGTTGTTGGTTTTTAATGTACTATGTGATTTCTTTTTTCTCTTGTGTTTTTTTCTCTCTTTTTCCTATGGCTTATCCCCTGTTGTCCCTGTATTTGATTTTGGTACCCTGGGAATTGTATATACATTTATCTGAAATAGGGAAGGGAAGGGGAACAATAAAATGGTGAGACAAAGGACAAAGGGGAGTATATGCAATAGCGACACTCACAAGACAATGTTATAAATGAATTGTACAACTTGGGGGGGGGTGGGGAAGGAAAAAGTGGGAGAAAAATGAGGGAGGAGGTAACAAGTTCAACAAGAAATGTACCACTACCTTACATATGTAACTATAACCCTTCTGTACATCAGCTTGACAATAAAAAAAAACTAAAAATAACTATTAAAAATGGCTGTGTGTGTGTGTGTGTGTGTGTATGTGTGTGTGTGCATGCACACATGAGCATACATGCCAGTACTGGGGCTTGAACTCAAGGCACCTTGATTAGCTTTTTTCCCAAGGTTGGCGTTCTACCACTGCTGGCTTTTTGCTAGTTAACTGGGGGACTCTCAGGGATTTTTCTGCTTGGGCTGGCCTTAAACTGTGATCCTCAGATCTCAGCCTCCTGAGTAGTTAGGATTATAGACCTAAGTCATTAGCACTCTGCTTCCAGCTTGAATGTTTTTGGTGTTTTGTTTTGTTTTGTCTTTTGTCTAAGTTTCGGGGCTTGAACTCTGGGCCTGGGCGCTGTCCCTGAGCTCTTCAGCTCAAGGCAAGCACTCTACCACTTGAACCACAGCACCATTTTTGGTTTTTTAGTGGTTTATTGGAGATAAGAGTCTCACAACTTTCCTGCCTGGGCTGGCTTTTGAACCATGATCCTTAGATCTCAGCCTCCTGAGTAGCTAGGATTATAGGCATGAGCCACTGGTGCCTGGCCTGTTTTTATTTATTTATTTATTTTGTTGGTCATGGGGCTTGAACTCTGGGCCTGGGCGCTGTCCCTCAGCTCTTCAGCTCAAGGCGAGCGCTCTACCACT